ACATGTCCCTGCTGCAGGCATCACTGGGCTATGCATTGTATTAGGTCCCTGACCACACCTTGTTCAGACACCTGGCCTCCAGAAAGGTGAGAGAACACATTTCAGTCATTTTAAATCACCAGCATTGGGTGATTCGTCACAGCAACCCAGAAAATGAATACTCACCCAGATGCACAGACATGGGCACATCACACACACACACACACACACACACACACACATACACACACACACACACCACTCTGACACCCAGAGATGAGCTCTTCATCTCAGGCTGAATTATAACCTTTGAAGAACCCAGCTGAAGCCTTGAGAACAGACACACAACAGTTTGACAGGCTGACAGATATGATCTTTACCCAAGGCTAATATGACCTCCGGGCAGATGTGATGCTCAGGAGACCCATCAGACCAGAGGCCGAGGCAAGGTTCCTGGAGTTCCAGGAACCGAGACCAGGACAAAGCAGGGACAACTTCCTGGGGAACTGCAGCCACCCATCACCAGGCTGGGACTTGGAGGGCACAGGGACCCCATGGGAACATGCAGTGAGCAAAACGCCCTTCGTCTCTGACCCCTGAACCCCGTGTTCTGCCAGCGTCTGAAAGCGGTGGCAGGCTAGGCTGTTAGTTTGCAAGTGGGGTCAAATATGAGACCCTTCCCAGCACGTGACGCACCCACACAGCAGCTGCCCCCAAAGCCAGCGCAGCGCATTGGGGTGTACCCTGGGGGCTTAAGGAGAGCAGGAAGGAAGTAAAGGAGCCATTTTAGGAACCATGATATTAAACAAGAATTGGGTTTGGGGCTCCAGCAAGTGCTGGGTCACAGTGGGGCGGTTAAGAGGGCCGCCTCTGGACCAGGTCTCTCAGGTCCAAACCTGGGCCTTCCGCTTTGCGCAGGTCACTTCCCCTCTCTGTGCCTCAGTTACCTTTTAAAGGCAGGGTTCGGATGAAGGCTGAGTTAACACAGGAAAGCACGGAAGAGAATGAATGTCTGTATAGCAAAGTCGCTGCAAAGTTTAGGTGATTCCTTCAGCAGAGCAGGGCGCCGGGGGCTGGGACCCAGGGCAGGTGTGGCAGCTCAGGAGAATGAGGAAGGCTGGGATGGACGCCCTCCACCTGAGGCCTGTTCAGTTGTCCGTCTGGTTCTCCAGGAGGCCAGCTGGTGCACCAATGCTCCTGGCTAAGCGGGGTGGCGGGGTGGGTGCTGCTAACAGGATTGGGCCCCTTGTTCCTCAGGTAGGTGAAGTCCCTTTTCCTGAGGATAACAGAGTCCCAGTGGACCATGCGGTGGGAGACAGAGAAAAGCGAGCCTGAGTGGCTTCCTGCCCAGGAAACCTGGTCCTCAGTCAAGTAACCCAGGAGCGATGGGAGGGGCTTGGAGAGAAAGAGGAGGATCAAGCCCCGGAGAGGCGCCAGGCTTCTGGGGGACACCTGTGCTCCCCGATAGCAAATGCAGAGCAGAAGTGAAATTCTGATGAAGAAGAAAGTGAATACAGCCAGGGGAGTAAGGAATATGAATTCAAGGACTGAGCGAGGCACTGAGGCACCTGACTCCACCTTCAACACTGCTGCCCCTCCCTGGGCCTCAGTTTCCTCACCTGGAAAGGGGACATGGTGGCACTTCCTAGGTGTGCTTGGAAGAGTATAAAGAAGCCTCTGGAAGGTGCCTGGTGTGTACCAGCTGGAGAGGACTGGGCTCTCGTGGTCATTCCGCCCACACTCAGGATGTCCCTTCTGTCTCCTGACCTCCCCCTGGGTGGTGGGGACTGGGACCTCTGCCCAGGCCGGCACAGGTCTCCCAGCCTCCTCGGTGAGCAGCAGAGGCCCCAGGCAGCGAAGGACCTGTGGACCTGTGGCTGAACCGGGGACTCCACCTCCAATACAATTGGGGGCCTGCGGCCGGGTCCGCAGCCTTCGGGGAGGGGAGCTCCCTGGGGCGTCGGCACGGTTCTGCTGGAGGACCTGGAGGTCCCGGTGCTGGGAGCTGGGGGCACTAGGCGGCGGGATGACAGGTGTCTGGGCGTGGAGCGGGACTTCCGGGACTAGGGCACCTGTGACTGCCCGGGGCTGGTGCGGGAGGCGGGGCGTCCTAGAGCGGTGAGGGGGCAGCGGGTGGGGATCTGCCCTGGGGACAGGACTTGGATGGGTGCGCGGTGTCAATGATGCCTATTGAGGAGGCCCGTCTCTCCACGTGATTGGGGTCCCTGGGGACCCCGAGTTTTCCTCTCTGGGTCCCCGGCATGCAAGGTCGGGCGTCGGGGAGTCCCGACCTCAGACGGAACCGGCTGAGCGCGGCCGCCTAGGGGGCGCCTAGGTGCCCGGGGAATTGGCTTTTCCCCGCCCTGGGGAGTCCACAGGCCGAAGGTCGCAAAGGGCGAGGCTGCAGCCTTGGGAAGCGGAGCCATGGCTGAGCTGCCGTGGACGAAGGCCGGTGAGTGGAGACCCCACGGCCCCACGGGGCCCGGGCGGGAAGACCCGTGGGGGGGAACCCCGGGCCCCCGCCCGCCTGCTGAGCCAGATGGGCACCCCGAGCCGCGGGCCGGGGGCTGCTGGCTGGGAGCCGGGGCGGAGCCGCGGCCAGCGGAGGTCGGGAGCCCCGACACCTCGGTGCTGGGGCCCGGCAGGCAGGGCGGGCGGCGCGGGCGCAGCGCCTGGTGGCGGAGGCGGGCTCGCCTCGGGGTCCTCGGTCACGGTCAGGTCGGGTGGCCCTGCGGATGCGCGTCGGTCTCCAGGAATTTTCCGCGTCTGAGGCCCCCCGCCCCCACCCCCGCCCCATTACACACACCCTTTTT